ATGGATGAATAAGCCATCATACCTTGATTATGAAGCCCTACCAAGCTTGTAACAATGGAGTTTAATTATGAAGCCCTACCAAGTTTGTAACTACTACTACTACTACTACCAAGCTTGTAACAATGGAGTTTGGTTATGAAGCCCTACCAAGCTTGTAACTACTACTACTACTACTACTACTACTACTACCAATGAGAGAATTTCTTGAAGGGAATTGGGTTTATTTATGGTGAATTGAAATAATGAATTAATTGACTTAGTTTAGGTATATAATAGCTTTATATAGGTGGTCTAATTACTAATAAAATGACACCACTTTATAACGAATTAATTCTAGAACCTTCCCCTAACCCTCCACTTAAACCGACTTAACTTCAAGGCTGCCTCCACCACGAGACCCAGACCCACGGGCTATTGGTGGACCCACGAGCCGTGCTGGTCATCCGTGGGTGATTGCTTGCAGGTCCTAAGTTGGGGTGTTTACCCACGTCCCTTCCCACATGGAGTGGGTCCACCTACTGGGCGTGAGTCCCATCCTTAGTTGCCCCATTTTTGGGCAGTTTCTAGGGGCTGTTTTGGGTCCCTCTCAAGGACCCTTGGTTGGTCCTTGGGGGGCGTACCTTGACGTCCTAGCCCTAAAACCTTCATTCTAAGTACGGGAAATCATATTGACGATTCTAACCCTCACTTCAAGCTCTACAACTCTCTAGTTTAGCTTACTAGTTTCCGGGTGTTATAATATCTCCCCCTTGGGAACATTCGTCCTCAAATGACACTCTAGGCTCTTCTTAAGGTCATGACTCTAGACTAGTAACCCATCATTCATGCAACTCATCTAAATGCACATAAACAAAGGATGAAAACTTCAACTCCAAGCGAAACATACTCAATGCAACACAAAGAAGTAGGAACTACATCTAACAACCAAAAATGCATGAAACTCAACATCTACTCTTCTTGAAGGAGGAACTAGCATATCCGAGCTAAAACATGCTCAACACACTCTCATGAAGTTTATATGCAGCATATTTTCAAAAAGAACCACTATAGCAAGTTCAACAAGTCATCTTATAAAGCATATAGGCAATTCTTACTTAATGCACTTCAACATAAGGAAATAATCATGCAAACTCATTTTTCTTTTAAATAACATGATTTCATGAACATGCACCACATAAGGAAATCATGGAAACATACAAATCATACACGACTTAACATATAGAGCAAATCATTAGATCTAAATGCTAAAGAAGGAATAAAAGGAAAAAAGGATGAGGATATCGGGACTTCTCATTGGCCCTTGGCATCCCAAGTAGCACCCTCACCTAAAATCCTCAATCAAAGACCACTCCTTAACTCTTGCATGCAAGCAACTTCCTTACTCTTCTATTTCTTAACTTGTCGGTCTAAGATCCCTACCGACATTTCTAAATTAGAGGAATTCTCCGTAACTTCCAACTTCTTAAGGACTTTACGAACGTCTGATCTCTAACACCCTTCTATATCCTAAAGGCATGGAAAACCGTAAATTAGAGGAATTCTCCTTAACTTCCAACTTCTTAAGGACTTTACGAAAGTCGGATCTCCAACACCCTTCTATATCCTAAAGACATGGAAAACTGGATACACCAGTGTCACTCAATAAGCAAATCTAGTTCGCAAGTAACCTTACCAACATTACTCAAGATCTCATATGAGTCTATAAACCAGGGACTAAACTTCCCAAAACTTACTACACCTCTCAAGGTGAGAATTTCAAGCCAACCTTAATCATGAACATCAAGAACACTCAATGACCTTGCTATCTAAGCATATCATCTCCCTCTTGAGAGTAAGCCCATACGAACTCTTCTAAGCATCATTTCTTTCAACTCCAAGGTCAAAACAAGTCATCACTAAGATTTTATATCTATCTCACAAAATGATTCTAAACAAAGGCGAATTACACTTCTACCCTTCTTAGAGGAGTCTACTGCGTCAACACATCTAGGCATTACTAAAACACCCTATTCATCAAATCTTTCAACATACCCCAAAACTGATCATGACTAAGTCGGGTTCTACCATCAATACAAAAAACCATAATATAACCCATTATACCAAATACAACATGAAGGTCTATCATATCGAGTCTATCAAATCACATAGCCATAATTGGCATCACAACCAACCTTTTTTTCCTCGTTCCTTGTAGCATCATCCCTTCAAGTAGTCATATCCTAAAGAAATCTCTCTGTCATATTCTTCTTTTGTCATCCTATTTCTTGATTCCAATTGGTATGTGGTGATACTAATTGAAATCTTTTATCTTTCACTCTTCTGTCCGAGGATGGTTAATACGAGATACAATGACATTAGGCCCGTAGCTCCCATCAATGAGCCAGCAGAGGAGCCCGCAATAAGAGGCCGTGGTTAAGGAAGGGGTAGTGGAAGTGGAAGAGGAAGAGGCCGAGGAATGGTAAAACCTGCCAGGGGTAAAGCCTCAGTTGAGAATGTTCCGAGGGAAGAGGCCCCTCTTGCACCCTAAGAAGAGGTGGAAGAGAATGTGGAGATCGAGGTTGTGGAAGATGTTGGACCAGAGGAGGAAGCACAAGCTAAGACTACATCTCTTCCTCCCTTAGACCCAGTGATAGCTCATCAGAGCATGAATTTTTTGAGTGGGTTGGTTAGCTCTGGAGTCCTTCCCATAGTGCAAGCTACTCAACCTCCAGTCAACCACCCCGTTGCTGCAACTGTTCCCAAGGTGGTTGGAGCATTAGGCAGCAAGGCCAAGGCTAAGGCGTCTAATATAGTGATCACAAGTACTATTCTTGTCTATGACCGGATGACTACTATTTTGTTTGATCTGGGTTCTACTTAGTCATATGTCTCAGCTCAATTTTCCTTGGGATTTGATGTGATTTGTGATGTGCTTGATCCCCCATCCATGTTTTTACCCCAGATGGAGAGTCTGTGATAGTCACCCATGACTATCGTGTTTGTTCGGTCCTATTTATGGGTTTTCAGACTTGGGCTGATTTGATTATTATGGATATGACTGACTTTGATATAATCTTAGGCATGACTTGGGTGTTCCCCTATTATGCTCCACTTAATTATAATGCTAAGAATGTGAATCTAGAGATATTGGGTAGGGAAAATTTAGAGTGGGAATAGGTGTACAAGCCTAAGCTAGCTAAGGTCATATATTTGGTTTTGTGCTAGGAAACTGGTGGGGAAGGGGTGTTTGTCATAGTTGGCTCATATTCGGGATGTTGATGCTGAGTCTCCCTCTATTGAGTTTATTCCTATAGTGTCTGAATTCAAGGAAGTGTTTCCTACCGATTTGCCTTGTATTCCTCCAGATAGGGATATAGATTTCGACAGTGACTTGGAGCCGGGCACTCGCCTCATCTCCATTCTTCCTTATCGCATGGCTTTAGCAGAATTGAGAGAGCTTTAAGCTCAAATCTAGGAGCTTCTTGATAAAGGTTTCATCTGTAATAGTGCTTCCCTGTGGGGTTCTCCTGTCTTGTTTGTTAAGAGGAAGGATGATAGTATGAGGATGTGCATAGACTACCGATAGTTGAGTAGGGTCACCATTCAAATAAGTATCTGTTGCCTTGAATAGATGATCTATTTGCCCAGTTGCAGGGTGCATCAATTTTCTCTAAAATTGACCTAAGGTATGGTTACCATCAGTTAAAGATTAAGCTTGAGGATGTACCAAAAACAACATTCAAGACCCGCTATGGGCACTATGAGTTCTTAGTGATGTCGTGTCGGTTAAGCAATGCGCCTGTAACCTTCATGAGTTTGATGAATGGTGTGTTCAAACTATTCCCGATCGTCTTTATTGATGACATTTTGGTTTATTAGAAGAATAAGGAAGAGCATGTCGACCATCTTCATTTTATTTTGGGTGTCCTTGGAAAATAGAAGTTGTATGCAAAATTGTCCAAGTGAGTTCTGGGGTACTTCAGTTACCTTTTTGGGGCATGTGGTTTCAAAGGAAGGGATAATGGTAGATCCCCAAAAGATCAAAGCAGTCAAGAATTGGGTCAAACCTAGCTCTGTGACTGAAGTTAGTAGTTTTTTGGGAAATGCCAGCTACTATTAACGATTTGTGAAATTTTTTTCTTCTATCGCCACGCACTTTAAAAGGCTAACCCAAAAAGAGGTGCCTTTCGATTGGATTGACAAATGTGAAAAGAGCTTTCGAAAGTTCAAGACTCTTCGTACCACAACACTTATTTTGACACTATCGATGTAAGGTAAGGATTTCATTATTTATTGTGATGCTTCACATTCGGGCTTGGGTGCTGTGTTGATACAGGATAAGAATGTCATAGCTTATGCATCGTAGCAGCTGAAGGTGCATGATAGAAACCACCCGACGCATGACTTGCAGTTGGCAACGGTAGTTTTTTTTCTCAATATCTGGCGGCATTACCTTTATGGTGTCAAGTGTCAGATGTTCACTAATCATCGTAGTCTACAAGATGTATTCACTCAGAAGGACTTGAATTTGAGACAACGAAGGTGGATGGAGTTACTCAAGGATTATGATGTTACCATTCAGTATCATTCGGATAAGTCTAATGTGGTGGCAGACACATTAATCCGAAAGATGGTGAGTATGGGAAGTCTAGGTTGATTGGTTGTGTCAAAGTGACCCTTCGCCAAGGAGATTCAGACCTTGGAGTCTAAGTTTTCAACTCAGAGAAAGGTGGGGTACTAGCCATCATTGAGGTAAGGCCCACATTTATTGAGGAGATTAAGGCCAAGCAGTTCGAGGATGAGAGTTTGAATGAGCTCAGAAAGAAGACAATGTCTGGCAAGGCACAAGATGCGGCTCTTGATGCGAGTGGTGTGCTCAGTTTTAGGGGAAGAATTTATGTTCCCTGAGTGGTTAACTTGATTTAGAAGATGTTGATAGAATCCCATGGTTTGCTGTATTCCATTAATCTAGGTGTGACCAAGATGTACCGAGATTTGAAATGAATTTATAGGTGGCCCTCATGAAGAAAGGCATAACTGAGTTTGTGGCTATGTGCCAAAACTGTCAGCAGGTAAAGTATGAGCATCAAAGGCATGCAAGTTTGCTTCAACAAATGTCAATCCCAGAATGGAAGTGGAAAAGGATAGTTATGGATTTCATAGTTGGTGTTCCTAAGACGTTGGGGAAGTTTGACTCTATTTGGGTGGTGGTTGACAAATTGACTAAGTCAACCCACTTCATTCCAGTTAGAGTAGACTATAATGCTCAGCAGTTGGCTAAGGTTTATGTGAAGGAGATAGTGAGGCTGCATCGGGTGCCCCTTTCCATCATCTCAGACGGTGGTACACAGTTCACACGTAAGTTTTGGAGAAAATTGCATGAGGAGTAAGGCACTCAACTCATTTTTAGCACAACCTTCCATCCACAGACGGATGGGTAGTCAGAGATAACTATTCAAGTGTTATAAGACATGTTGAGGGCATATGTGATTGACTTTGGAGGGTATTGGGATAAGTTCCTGCCTATGTGTGAGTTCTCCTATTATAATATTTACCACTCCAGCATTGACATAGAACCGTTTGAGTCACTTTATGGGAGGGGATGTAGATCACCCATAGGGTGGTTTAAGATTGGATATGTGAAACCTTTGGGGGTTGATTTGGTGAAAGATGCTCAGGATAAGGTAAGAAGCATCCAAGCTAAGCTTCTAGCAGCCCTGAGTCGACAAAAAATATGCATACCGTTAGGTAAGGGACATGACATTTCAGCCGGTGAGCAAGTTCTTCTAAAAGTGTCACCCATAAAGGGGGTGATGAGATTCGGCAAGAAGGGAAATCTTAGTCCTCAATACATCGGGCCATTTGAGATTCTTGACTGTGTAGGGCCAGTGGTTTATAGGTTGGCTTTACCGCCTAGCCTATCTGAAGTCCATCTATTGTTCCATGTGTCCATGTTGAAGAAGTATCATGGGGATGAAGATTAGATCATAAAGTGGGACTCAGTTATGTTAGACAAAGATCTTCAGTATGACGAGGATCCGGTTGCAATTTTTGATCGTTGAAAAGCTGAGGCCCAAGGAGATAAAGTCTGTGAAATTTTAATTGAAGCATCGTCCGGTTGAGGAAGCTACTTAGGAAACCTAGAAGGACATGTGAGACAAGTATCCCAGTTATTCGATGATTCATGTACTACTTTACTCTTGCCTTAGCTCAGTTCTCCTAGTTTAGCACTCAGGGATGAGTGATGGTTAAATTGGTATCTATTGTAATAACCTGTTCCCGTTGTTATGGAAAAGCCAATGGAAAATGAAAGAGTAGTAACTTGGAAATTTCTTACCTAGGACAGACTTGGATGAAATCTAAGTCAGGTGAGGTATAGGGCAATCCAGTAATGGATGGGGGATTTAATTATGAGTTTGATCACATGAGTGGATATCCAAGGTGTTAAGGAGCCCGTACGGCTTTATGTAATTGAATTCAGGCGAGTAGATCTCCCGAAACTGATCTTGGCGTGAAACAATAGTTTTAGAACGTCAGGGTTTGAGGATGTGTTGTGAAATGGGAGCTTGGAACTCAAATACCGAGTTTCTGTCTCTGTGTAAGCCATTGGTGCGGGATTAATTCCGCAAGGGCAGGGCGCTGTGGTGGGATGGGACACGCTGTGGCGGGCTAATCGCGACTTAAACTGGGGAAATACCCAAAACATTATTTTCTGCAAAACCTCGTTCTTAAGAGCTAAGGGACCACCTAGGGCAGTTCCTCATCAAATTCCACAAATTCTCGTGCCAAAGGTAAGTTAATTACTTCCCTAATCCGTATTTCGATTCTTAGCCTTAGGATCATGGGTTTGTCCTTGGGTTGAAATTTGTTATATCCAGGTAAATTAGGCCTTGTTTATTGATCGTTGCATTAATTACTTGTTTTAGGAGTGTTCAGGCTTGGTTTCGAGGTAGGTGATGGTTCAACTTCCCATTTATTTTTATATATGCCTGTTAATTTTTCCCTTGTATGTGAATAGGGAAACATGAATCGAATCTAATGAAATGACTAAATATGAACAATTACATGCCAAGAACCTGTTACTTGACTGTGTGACTATCTGCACTGTTCATTATGGGTGTGATTGTGATTGTGGTTGTGCTCACTGGATCGGGTGTCACGTTTCGACACATCTATTGGATTGGGTGTCACGTTTCGACACATATATATTGGAGCGAGTTTCACGTTCCGACACACTAACAGTTTGGGTGTGGGTTCCTTGAGAGGACCATTTGGAATTGCACATTGCTCCTAAAATTATAATTGAATTATTTATTCTGTATATGTGTGTTTACTGTGTTGTAATTACTTGATATATTTTGCTTACCGAAGTAATCGTGTGATCCTACCAGTACACCGTTGTTTTGTTTACTGATACTTCACTTGCTCTTTCTTTGTTGAGTACAGGGCATCTTCAGGCGGCTACTGACAGACCCGATCTAGGAGATCATTGACCGAGACTGAATTCAAGGGTGATCCAACTCTTTCAGGCTGCCATGGATCCATCATTAGTTTAGTCCATTCTTTTCGGACTCTGACTATATATTCACACTTTTACTTATGTTTAGTTTTCGGGGTTGCATCTCCTTTTTGTTAGACTTGTTAATTAGTAGAGTTTTGGTACAATGATTTTCAAGTCTAGGGGTTGAATTTCCGTGAGGTTTATGCTTGGTTGCTTTTGTTAAACCTTCTGAGTTTATGGGAACTCAGTACTTAATTTATCATCTAAATCTGCTTCCGTATCTTTAAATGAGTTATTTTCATTAAGTTGCTTATTCGGGTTGTGGTAGTTATTCTCCCACCGGAGGATTAGTGTGGATGCCAATCACGACTGTCTGGGTCGTGACACAACCTGACGAATTTTCAAGCTAAAATTACGACCCCAACTAGCTAGTTTAGAATTGGGAAAATTTCTCCTAAACTCCTCTTGATTCTCAAACCCAACACGAATACAGGAGAACTTTCATACAATTCCTTTGGAAACAGACTTTACCAAAGATTCACAAAACAAAAGAATCAAAACATTCATTGTTAAAGAATTGAACTTAATATCCAGAACTATGAATGGATCCTTTAGATTAAACGATTTCTTGACTAAATTGAGATGTAGGGCATGAGGACGAACAAGTCCAACACTGTAAGAAGCCTTATATACCCAAAAAGAACAAATTTCCTTAACGAAATCGATGGAAACTTAAAGAACCCCTGAACCCTGACTTTTTCTCCTCTTGAAACCTTTCTCTAATTCCTCTAAATGTTAAGAACATGAAAACATGGTTTAACACTGATTTGACCCCAAAATTGGGTGAAGAAAAACGTTGCTAGGCTTAGAAGGGATGGGAAAAGACCAAACTACCTCTTTAAAAAAGATTGAGGTGCCTTAAAAAGAGAGGCTTTACTAAAACGGGCATAACGTTTTACTCCAAGCTCAAAATGAAGAAAACTTGGTGGCGTTGGAAAGATGACTCAAAGAACTTTAATATGATAGGTAATGGGCCACCTAGTTCTTTATGACCTAAGATATATTATTGTTTGAAGTTGACATAAGAAAAATCTTTTATTGAAACTCAATCGGTAAGAAAGCTTTCAACTCCACTTTGTGCTATAGGGATTCTAGAGACCATAACTCATATACAAATTAATTCCACACTCAAGAATTGACCTTAAAATCTAAGAACAATTAAGAATCACTGATACAATCTTATTCACAAATGAAGAATAGTTCGATTCTTAACTTACAAATTTTAAGGATGTTACAGTATCTCCCACTTGGGATCATTTATCCTCAGATGATGGCTAGACTAAGAATGAAAAGGGGTTATTCTTGTAACACCTTGAACTTTGGTTAGTTTTTAAGTTTTGGGTCAACTTCAAACGACCACAACTTTTAGCACATAATGAGTTAGGAGGCCAGCGAGGTATCAAATCAAAGGTCTTTGAGTCCTCTTTCCAACACTGATTAACGTATCAACTACACCTCATCCAATACTAGGTGGAGACGATCGTTAAGTAGTATCAACCCAACAGAAGAGTTGGGGTCGATCCCACAGAGAGTAGTTATGTGTAGAATTCAAATATGAAGTTACAATAGTGATTTTTATAGATAAAGGACGGAAGATTTTTGGAAACTATTAATGAAATTTGAAGGGTGACAACAATGTCAGGGTGAAGGGTTTTTAGATCATAAAATAACTTCAACAAGTAACTGAGAACAACTAAATAGGAGAAAGGTACTTGGGGGATTGACCAACCAATTGCTAAATTTAATTCAGTGGGTACAAATTGCTAACCAAAAGTGCGAACTCTTCATGGGTAGGATGAACTTTAGGTGAGGCACTTTTCTCTCGAACAACTACCCCATTTCAATTGAGTTCTCTCGAACCTCAATGCTTTAAGCATAAACACCAGTCCACAACCTTACCACATCCACTCTATCGAGCTGAATGCATAGCATGAGTCTTAGGATTCACTCTCTCGAGCTTAATGCATAGCATGCGTCTTACGATTCACTCTCTCGAGCTGAATACATAGGATGAGTCTTAGAATTCACACTCTCGAATCCATCATGACCCACTAACTATGAGTGCCAACTTATCACTTTAGCTTTACACTTCTTTTTCAAGCAAGCTTAAAATACTAAATTATATTGAGATAAACATGCAATAGAGTAGTTAAACCCCAACGATAAGTCAGACCCATTTGGATTAGCACTAAAATTAGTAATAACTAACACCCACCAAGCCAAATTCAGCAATTAATCACATTGTCAAACCCCCAACACTGGGGATTTACCTAATCATCATAAAAGAAAGAAATTCAGTACCTAATACATGCTCCATAGATGGGTATTGAAAATCGATGTTCTTAGATGAATAATATCTTTTCTATTACAATACCCAATTGAAATTGAATGCCGAGTCTTTCTCTGCCGTCAATCTCTTGCCAAAATTGCTTCAAATCAACAAGAATAGTATTTTTGTTCTCTCTATTTCGTTCCACAATGACTGAATGCCTTCTCTCTTTTCCAAAAGTTAATTTATACTGATATGAGATGACTTTTTAGGGTTGATCGGTGTGGAAAGTCGGGCTTCGCCGACCAATCGGTGATTCAGTTTAGTGCATCAATTAGGCAATTGAGGACATTAAATCTATATAAATAAAGCCACAAATGAGTCCAAATCTCGGACTTATCAACACCTCCAACCTAATCTTTTGCTTGTCCTCAAGTAAAACTCACGATCATCATCTCAAAAAGGATGTCTCAGATAGTGCTGCATAAGACGCAACAGGAATGCACACAACAACATTCAATTACTCATGCAATTATCAATTTGTGCACTCAAGAGATTCAAACTGTGACTCACCATTATCAAAGATGCTCAAGTTCACACTACTTGCTTCAAACGCAAGTTCAAGGTCAACAAAGGTACTCAAATTCCCTCACAACAAAAATGATTCCCTATTCACACAAAGTTCTTCAACAATTTATAGTTTCAGAATCACATACAACTTTCAAATTCACAAATATGAACATATGCATGACTTCACCGATAGGTTTGCCCTTATTTTCCAATCAACACTCGTTTCTATTGACTCAAGATCAAAAAGGTCTTTTCAAGGCTTGTAGTGGGGGTGAGTGTAAAGGTGTGGTCATTTAGGCTCAGTGGCTGCTACCCACATGAAGTGTGGTTTGAACATCACTTTCTTCCTTTTCTTCATCATTTTGATCATGCTCATAATTCACTTTCAAATGGACTACCGGATACCTCATTTCTTTTGCAACTTCGACTACTTTATTTCACAACTTTTTCATTCTTTTTCTTTTTCTTTTCATATTTTTTCTCATTTTTTTACATGGAGGGGTTCAATCTTTTTCAAAATCATTGCTCAAAGGGGAATTTTTCACACTTCATAATTTTCCTTCTCTTTTCACCACACCCCCAAC